TTTCATTCAATATTTGCTTTAAACAAAAATATGTAAAATATTTTTGCAATTTGTTATATTAAAGCCAACTATGCATCATTTGCAATTTTCTAACACACAGGAAAGCAGTTCCTGCAGACAGCACCTTTTCTTCCTAATCATCTGTTCTGTAGATGCAGTAACGATCTTACCAACAAACCAGCTTATTCTGAAGATCAATACATTTACACCAGGGTTTCTCGGAGCTGAATAAAATGTTTTGGTTTTCAAATTCAACCCATATACTATTTTCTGAATCACAAAGGAGTTCATTAGCTCTTTACTTTTTACAGTGAATTCTTTGAAGGCTGACATTGCTTTGTCAGATGAAAATTTCACAGTATGTAAAGTACATAAAGTTTTATGGTGCAATTTTACTTACGGCATCATAACCTTAGAGACCACCTGAACTTTCAGTATAAACCAGGTAAATACCTTAAAGGTGCATCAAAGCAAAAGGTAAGAAAAGTCTTAAAATTCATCTTCTTTAGAAAACAGCCACAGCCTGAGTAAAAAAGCCTGTTGCCTGCCTGTCAGGTCCTAATCTGAAGGTCACTTGTTCTATGTGTGGAAATAATAGCCTTTCTGAAAAGGTCCTGCATGGCCCCTGCTGAGTCTGAACTAGAGCATTGTAATAGGGACGGACTGACCATTTGGAAACTCGGACACTGCCCGAGGGCTTGGGGTCAGTAGGAGCCCCATGAGATGCCCCTGGTACCTTTTTCATAGGCTTTTTTGAGTTTGGGCAAGGACACAGGGGTCCCATGATCCCCTATTGCCCGGGGGCCCCATGAGTTGTCAGTCTGCCCCTGGTTGTAATAAACAAAGCTCATGATGCCCAAGCACATCTTTCACCCTACAGTTTTACTTCTGGATTTAGCCACAGATATCAAGAGATTGCTAGCAGAAACAAATAAAATAAAGGAAAAACTATCATAGATTGTATTTTAGTGGCTTGGTGATGCTGACGCTATAGCTACCAGCCCATGGGTGCCTTGTGGTAATAGTAGCCTGTAGAGTAGAATCAATATATATATAGCTACTGAACATACAGAAGACTTTCAGGATGTTGATTGCAGGCAAAAACAGTTTTTTGATTGTTGATCTACATCTCTAATATGGCTAGAAGGCAGGACAGAAAGGAAGGCAAGCAGTGCAATATAAGGGTAGAGTCCAACAAGTGTACATTCCTGCATAAATAAATACACATACTCAACCATGGTGTTAGAGCAGCAGTGCTAAGAGTGGAATAAATGCACCTAAGAACACACCTAGCCCTGAGAATGTCATGCAAGAGGCAGCGCTGATATCAAAATGGCACGCAAACGCCAGCCAGACATGTGCAGCAGCCACCTATACAGTATACAGTATGTGTGGTAGAATGAGAGAATTTCAGTGAAATAAACAGTTAAGGGAAAAAAATCCACTTTTGTCCTTTTGCAGCTATCTAACTTTCCCAACCCAGCAAAACTGCAGGGGGCCCATTATCAGTAGCAGTGTCATTCCCATCTCAACAGCTAGCATCTGTCACCAGCTACAATAGGCACAGATAAAGATTTTTCATCTGATATAGTAAAGGCCTTAGCGACCTTTAAAAGGAACCTGTCAGGATAGAAATATGGGAACTGTCTTCAATGACTTATTTTTAGTGGACCTGAACTTGAAAAGTGAAGATTTAGAAATGATGTTAGTTGTACCTAAGAAGTACCCAGTAAAATACCTTTTGTCTTGAATGCCTAATAAAAATACTGTAGCTCTGTACTCCCTTGTATGTGAGTGTGCCTAGGTCCTCCTGCATTTACGGACTCATAGTTGTATATCAGCAATATAAGACCCTAAGCACTGCTGCCTTCAACAGCTAGTCTCAGGAGATTTAGCGTGAGATGTGATGAAGTCATCACTGTTCTGCTCACTTGCTGACTCCATGGACGCAAAACTCTGTATCTACCATAATGGTGGCCTTCACACAGAGACACGGTGCAGAGCAAGGAATAGTAAATCAGTAATGGGAAAAGATCAGCTGCAGGAATTCACAAGCAATACTGGTAACAATTTGCCCCTTGCCTACTTTTTGATCACATTTCCTGATGTCAGTTGTTGAACAAGCTGCATGGTGAAAGCTGTATTTCTAATATTACTTTGCTACTTGGTGGATCACTGACCTTGAACAAGCACGTGCCTACCAGATGTCAGATCATCTAACATGCACCTGTTTGTTCTGTGTCAGTGACACACTTGAGAGTGCACTCAGGATGATAATTCTGAAGCATGACCCTTAAGAAAGGAAGCAAGCGTAGCTCCTTTGCAGGGGCAGACTGACAACTCATGGGGCCCCCAGGCAATAGGGGATCATGGGGCCCCTGTGTCCTTGCCCAAACTCAAAAAAGCCTATGAAAAAGGTACCAGGGGCATCTCATGGGGCCCCCTACTGACCCCGGGCCCTCGGGCAGTGCCCAAGTTTCCAAATGGTCAGTCCTCCCTGCTCCTGTGTGAACATACTTTTTTCAGAAGTATGCTGCAGTCTACAGTTTAGACAGCCACTCTCTGACTTCTCCCTGACATAATAATTGCATGGTAGCAAAGCTGGACCCAGAAAGAGTATGTGATCAGAGAAAGAGTGACCACTTTAATTAAAGAATGGATTTTACCTATTTGGCAGGTCTGTGGAAAAGTGGCAGGTTCCTTCTAAAGAACAACCTTCTAAAGAACAGCAAAATTGAGTGGGACATACATAGCTGCGCTCAAGGTTGGTGAAGGATCTCCCATCACAACTGAGCAGTAAGGATCTATCAGGGAATATTATCTAAAAAAAAACCTTTAGAATCACTTTAAATATTCAGTAGCCTTTACAAGCAACGTCTTGTAGATGAAAAGTACCAAGATGCAAGAATTTGCTTCTTGGTACTTTTCATCTACAAGACGTTGCTTGTAAAGGCTACTGAATGTTTAAAGTGATTCTAAAGACTTTTTTTTAAAAGAAAAAAATAACAAACATGTCTAAACTTACCTGTGTGCACTGGTTTTGCACATAGCAGCCTGGATCCTCCTCTCCTTGGGTCCCTCGCTGGTGCTCCTGGCTCCTCCCTCCTGTTGGGTGCCCCCACAGCAAGCAGCTTGCTATGGGGGCATCCACTGTTCCGTGTGTCCATTCACACATGGAGCTGTGGCTCAGCCCCTTCCCTCTCTCTTCTCATTGGCTCATTGGCTGTGATTGACAGTGGTTTGAGCCAATGGCTCCCTCTTCTGTCTCAGCCAATGAGAAGAGGGAGTCACAGGATAGCCAAGACTCCAGTGACCATTACTGGATCGAGAGGGGGCTTAGGTGATCATTAGGGGGGAGTTGGGGGGATACTGCACAGAGAAGGTTCTCTTAGCTTCATGCATAGAATGCATGAAGGTAAAAAACCTTGAGCCTTTACTACCACTTTAAACATTTCCAGTATGCTGCAGTACTTGGTATTCAAGCACCAGTGACGACTGTCAAAATATGCGCAAATGACATTCAACTGGAATATACTGTTTCTCTTCTGTGCTTGCCCAAGAAAAAAAGGGACACAAAAATCCTAACAATACTGCTGTATCAAAATATATCTTCCTAGCAACTTTTTAAAAATGGAGGAGGGAGCAGAAATATATTGAAGGGGTTTTTTTTTTGGATTGTTTTGGCAGTATAATAGAATACTTATATATAATTAATATAAAATAGTCATAATTAATGTATGTACATGTTTTGTACATAGGCAAGTACGTAGAAATATGTACATCCTTATCAATTGTATTTCTGTCTCTTCTTTTCTTTTCTCTCTTCTCTATATATACACTTATTTGGGAATATTACAAAGCAATATCAATGTCACTTCTTTAACAGACCTTGACATGAATCATACCTTATTTACATAAACTCAAACTCTATCTGCTTCAAAATATCCCTTTAAGGGACACAATACAAATGACCAGGTAACAGACCTTAGTAACAACACCAATCAAAGCTGATGTCTTGTTCCATTGCCATTTTGTGATGTATATCTTTCCAATACTTTTTTTGTTATGGAAAGATAAACATAGATATAATGATATAATGGGATTCTATGCTTCTTTTGTGAAATCTACCAAATTTACATCTGTTTTGGTTCATACACTTGGGGTGTAAACAAGTCAGGTATGTATAAAGTCAAAAGACTAAGAAGATTCTTCTGTATTTAAATGTAGTTCTTATAAGAGAATTCAAGTTCTTTGTGCAAGTTGTTTATTGCTTCCTTTCTGAAAAAAAATTAGATTGATTTAGACTTTTCAATGGTGTTGGCCCTTGCCCAGATAAAATCCTTAAGTATACAATTCTGATAAGAAGCTGATTATTTTCTGATGGTAAATTCAGGTACCTTTCTTCTGTTTGAGTAGGTGTTTTGTCCTGTACTTGCCATAGTTGGTATTGTATAGCAAGACCTGATAGACATCAAAGACAATCCAATGACACCTGACAAATGTCTTCATTCTGCACAAGGCTTGAAGATTTTCTGTAAAGAAGAAACTCCTGTTTTGAGGATGTAAAGTACATTGGCTCAAGGCAAAGCAGAGATGTCAAAACTAAGATCAGGAGGAAATGTTGTAGTCCATGCACTGGATTTGCTTTAACTGTCAAAGCTTTCAATGATTGGACATTTGTTCACAGCTAAGAGTATAGTCAAAAATTCAATTTTATGGAAGATATTTAGGTAGCAATATCAATAGTAAACTCTTTACCACTAAAATGAGTCTGATTGTCTGCTCTGTAGGAAAAGATTGAAGGAATATGAAGAAATCCAGAACACCATAGTAATCATAGGAAAGTGTCACAATGCCTTTGTATTCTGGAACAGCACATAAAACTAGGCCCAATCTGCCTACTGCTAAAATTCGGTGGTACTGGTAACCTGAGTGACTTCGGAGTTCAGATCTTCTCCTCGTCGGCCTCGGGATCCTCTCCTTCGGCCATCCATGTCTAGTCATACCGGCTTGTCTGGAGCGTGTGACTGGGCGCAAGTGGATACTTGGTCCCGGGTAGTGTTACGGGCTCTGCTGAAACTGCTCTGTTCACCATGTGAACGGAAGGGTAGACAGAACTCTCGGAAACATCTCTTGAAATTTTCATCTAAGAAGGCATAAAGCACTGGATTTAGGCTGCTATTGGTGTATCCTAGGGCGATGCAGAAATGCCAGCTCGCTACAACGTAGGGATTCCTTTTGTCAATTTCCACCATGGTCCACACAATAACGAAGATGTGGATGGGTGTCCAACAGATAATAAAGGCAGCCACCACTACTAGAACCATACGGGTTATGCGGCGCAGGTTGCGGTCTTTCTCTCTTGATCCAGACAGGAGGCGTACACTACGAAGGCGAAGGATCATTAACCCATAGCATACTGTAATTACCATGACTGGAATCACAAAAGCAAAGATGAAGACACAGATTTTGGTAACGGTATCCCAGTACCAATCAGGGCGAGGAAACTGAAGCATACAGGTGATTGTACCAGCTGTAGATGTAAAAGAGATAGGGACTTGTTATTTACTTATTTACTCCCTGTTTGGTATTAAACATAAAAGAAACAAAACAAACTCTTCACATTGTCCAATCTTAGAGTATAACTGAAGTAATATAGTGTGTAAGTTCCCTTAAATGTTATCATCATTCCCATGTTAACATTTGTCAATGGAATTACATAAAACATTCCATTCCTGAAACCTGCTGCTAAAGCCTGCCCATTGCCTAGCAATGTCAACATCTTTGCACCACTGTGCCCACAATAGAAATGAATGCCAATCCACTTCTATTATGAACACTTGTGCAGGCATAGCAACATAAAAAGACACTGGAGAAGGGACCGTTTTAAGCAATGATTTTCAAAAACAAATTTTATCAAGGGGTGACATTTGGGGGCAACTCACATATATAACTTTGGATGTACTTAAAAGCAAACTGTGCTTTACCCATTTAGGGCATAGCAACAGGTTTGCTTTTCTACTCCACTAGTTGACAACCCAGAATATACTTATTTTTCCTTTGCTTCCCCAGTGCCTTCTTCAGCATTGGAAGCCAAAGGAATTACTCAGTAACTCACTCTATGTGATAGTGCTGGCCCAATCAGTGCTGTCACGGAACTGTATAGCCCTGTGTAAGCACAGGCTTTTCTTTTTTGCTCTAAATATCTTAACAAAGAGGTGGAGTAATGAAAGTCAAGAAAGAAAATATGCTGCCTGGGAGGATAAAGTCAATCTGCTTTAGCAAATTACAAGTTCAAGTAAAGGACTTATGTGTACATGTGTCTTTTCTGACACATGAAATATTTTTATCAGAGGATGCAAATGATACATGTATGTTAATATATATATATATATATATATATATATATATATATATATATACATACAGTCTGGTCCATAAATATTGGGACATCTACACAATTCTAACTTTTTTGGCTCTATACACCACCACAATGGATTTGAAATGAAACAAACAAGATGTGCTTTAACTGCAGACTGTCAGCTTTAATTTGAGGGTATTTACATCCAAATCAGGTGAACGGTGTAGGAATTACAACAGTTTGCATACGTGCCTCCCATTTGTTAAGGGACCAAAAGTAATGGGACAGAATAATAACCATAAATCAAACTTTCACCTTTTAATACTTGGTTGCAAATCCTTTGCAGTCAATTACAGCCTGAAGTCTGGAATGCATAGACATCACCAGATGCTGGGTTTCATCCCTGGTGATGCTCTGCCAGGCCTCTACTGCAACTGTCTTCAGTTCCTGCTTGTTCTTGGGACATTTTCCCTTCAGTTTTGTCTTCAGGAAGTGAATTGTATGCTCAATCAGATTCAGGTCAGGTGATTGACTTGGCCATTGCATAACATTCAACTTTTCCCTTAAAAAACTCTTTGGTTGCTTTTGCAGTATGCTTTGGGTCATTGTCCATCTGCACTGTGAAGCGGCGTCCAATGAGTTGTGAAGCATTTGGCTGAATATGAGCAGATAATATTCCCGAAACACTTCAGAATTCATCCTGCTGCTTTTGTCAGCAGTCACATCATCAATAAATACAAGAGAACCAGTTCCATTGGCAGCCATACATGCCCACGCCATGACACTACCACCACCATGCTTCACTGATGAGGTGGTATGATTAGGATCATGAGCAGTTCCTTTCCTTCTCCATACTCTTCTCTTCCCATCACTCTGGTACAAGTTGATCTTGGTCTCATCTGTCCATAGGATGTTGTTCCAGAACTGTGAAGGCTTTTTTAGATGTTGTTTAGCAAACTCTAATCTAATCTGTCCTTCCTGTTTTTGAGGCTCACCAATGGTTTACATCTTGTGGTGAACCCTCTGTATTCACTCTGGTGAAGTATTTTCTTGATTGTTGACTTTGACACACATACACCTACCTCCTGGAGAGTGTTCTTGATCTGGCCAACTGTTGTGAAGGGTGTTTTCTTCACCAGGGAAGGAATTCTTTGGTCATCCACCACAGTTGTTTTCCGTGGTCTTCTGGGTCTTTTGGTGTTGCTGAGCTCACCAGTGCATTTCTTCTTTTTAAGAATGTTCCAAACAGTTGTTTTGGCCACGCCTAATGTTTTTTCTATCTCTCTGGTGGGTTTGTTTTGTGTTTTCAGCCTAATGATGGCTTGCTTCACTGATAGTGACAGCTCTTTGGATCTCATATTGAGAGTTGACAGCAACAGATTCCAAATGCAAATAGCACACTTGAAATGAACTCTGGACCTTTTATCTGCTCATTGTAATTGGGATAATGAGGGAATAACACACACCTGGCCATGGAACAGCTGAGAAGCCAATCGTCCCATTACTTTTGGTCCCTTAACAAGTGGGAGGCACATATGCAAACTGTTGTAATTCCTATACTGTTCACCTGATTTGGATGTAAAAACCCTCAAATTAAAGCTGACAGTCTGCAGTTAAAGCACATCTTGTTCGTTTCATTTCAAATCCATTGTGGTGGTGTATAGAGCCAAAAAAGTTAGAATCGTGTCGATGTCCCAATATTTATGGACCTGACTGTATATATATATACAGTTGTGTTCAAAATAATAGCAGTTAGACATCACTAACCTGATTAATCACTGTTTTTGGTAATAATGATATTTCTACATGGCAAATAATTTACTAGCAGGTGTAGTAGAGTAATAGAAATCCAACAGACCCAACAGTCATGGCATGCATGCTACTGATTCTGTGTAATTGAATCACTAATTGAAAGGGGCATGTTCAAAATAATAGCAGTGTGGAGTTCTATTGGTGAGGTCATTCATTCTTTGAAAAACAGGTGGCAATTATTGCCCTTATTTAAGGAAGGAAGGCAGCAAATGTTGTACATGCTGGTTACAGTGCATTTCTCTCTGAAATTCTGAGGAAAATGGGTCGTTCCAGACATTATTCAGAAGAACAGCGTACCTTGATTAAAAAGTTGATTGGAGAGGGGAAAACATATAAAGAAGTGCAGAAAATGATAGGTTGCTCAGCTAAAATGATCGCAAATGCTTTAAAATGGCAACCAAAACCTGAAAGACGTGGAAGAAAGTGAAAAACGACCATTCGAATGGATAGAAGAATAGCCAAAATGGCAAGGACTCAGCCAACAATCAGCTCCAGGAAGATTAAAGGTCTAACGTTACCTGTGAGTACTGTTACAATTAGAAGACGCCTATGTGAAGCCAAGCTATCTGCAAGAAGCCCCCGCAAAGTCCCACTGTTGAAAAAAAGACGTGCTGAAGAGGTTACAATTTGCCAAAGTGCACATTGACTGGCCTAAAGAGAAATGATGCAACATTTTGTGGACTGATGAAAGTAAGATTGCTCTTTTTGGGTCTAGTGGCCGGAGACAGTTTGTCAGACGACCCCCAAACACTGAATTCAAGCCACAGTACACTGTGAAGACAGTGAAGCATGGTTGTGCAAGCATCGTGATATGGGGATGTTTCTCATACTACGGTGTTGGGCCTATTTATCGCATACCAGGGATCATGGATCAGTTTGAATACATCAGAATACTTGAAGAGGTCATGCTGCCTTATGCTGAAGAGGAAATGCCCTTGAAATGGGTGTTCCAACAAGACAACGACCCCAAACACACCAGTAAATGTGCAACATCTTGGTTCCAGACCAACAAGATTGATGTTATGGAGTGGCCAGCCCAATCCCCAGATCTTAATCCAATAGAAAACATGTGGGGTGACATCAAAAATGCAGTTTCTGAGGCAAAACCAAGAAATAGAGAAGAACTGCGGAATGTAGTCCAATCATCCTGGGCTGGAATACCTGTTCACAGGTGCCAGAAGTTGGTTGACTCCATGCAACACAGATGTACAGCAGTTCTCAGAAACAGTGCTTATACAACTAAATATTCATTAAGTGATTCAAAGGAAAGCAAAATCTTCAAACATTGTTCAGTTTATATAGTGAATGTTTGAGTTTGTAAAGAATACAAACACTGCTATTTTTTTTAACAGTCTAATATTCACTTTTCTTCAATTTTTTTAGAGGAACAACACAAATTTGATATATTTTTCTTCATGTTTTGATTTGGAATAGAATGTGTAGTGTTCCCAATGCATTTGTGTGTATGGAAATAAAAGCTATTAGAAGGATTTTGAGCTTTATTCACTTTTTTCAACACACTGCTATTATTTTGAGCACAACTGTATATATATATATATATATATATATATATATATATATATATATATATATAGTGACAGAAATAAGTATTTGATCCCCTGCTGATTTTGAATGTTTGCCCACTCACAAAGAAATGATCAGTCTAAAAAGTTTTATTTTTCTTTATGCATAATCATACATATGCTTTTACATCCATCTGAAATTCCACATGATGTCTTAGTGCTGTCTTGTTTGTACTTATGTAAACACACTACATGTTATTTACTTTGACACAGTTTAACACACACTTCCTGCATAGCGTGGCCTCATTAAGCATACGGCAGCATTTTTGATAGAGGATGTAAAAGAAAATTGACCACTTTTTGGTACACAATGCCAATGAAAAGTGGCATCAATATATTAGTACAAATTATCTTTGGTCTATGAATGATGACTATTGCACACAGAATTACAGAATGATGCTATATTTTTGTCAAACACCCTATAGCAATCAAAAATATTAGTGCAATCAGCAAGAACCTTTTTCTATATAGAATTGTGTATCACATGAAGGTTATCCATAAAATGTTGTCTGTCTCATATATTTTAGAAAGTGCAATAATTACTTAGAAAAAATAATAGTGTAGTACTGATTCTCAATTGTCAATTTTAGATGACTCTATGTGCAAATAAAACTGGAGGAAGCTGGGATCTGATTGGTCAGTATATTGAAGGAAATGTTAACTAAATTATTTTCAGTGTTTTCATTTCCATGATTTGTAAGGTTTCAAACTATTGCCGAAAAGTGATTCAATCACTCCAAAAAGAAAAAAAAAGAAAATCTACCAACAGGTAAAGAGTGCAGGCAATTAAGCCTGCCATAGCTTTCTGTAGGTATCTCTAAGTCTTCACACTTTGGGACATAGCTTAGTTGAACCCATTAACAGGTATTCCTTAACATACAATGTACAGACAACACACAAGCTCCCAACTACCTTTATTTGTTTTGGTGACTGCCATAACCATGATTGGCACTCCGATAACTGATGACAGAATCCATATGCAGACATTTATAGCTTTGGCCTTAGATGGGGTTCTAAAGTCCAATGCTCGCACAGGATGGCACACGGCTACATAACGATCCACACTCATCATGGTCAGGGTGAAAATACTGGTAAACATGTTGTAGTAGTCTATAGACAATACGATTTTGCAGAGGATTTCTCCAAATGGCCAGGTCTCCATGAGATACTTGGCACTTTGAAAAGGTAAAGTGCTGGTTGCCAGTGCATCGGCCAAGGCAAGATTGAAGATGTAAATGTTGGTTGCTGTCTTCATCTTGGTGTATCTATGAATAACAGAAAATACCATCATTTTAAAGGTTAATTTTCTTCAAAGAACTTTATATGCAGCTAATACAACTTCAGCACATAAAAGTAAGACATGGCTACCCATTTTTTTTTTTTCGATAGTTGTCAAATACGTACTGTAGGTAGAGAAGAAAAACACATTTTTTTTTCAAAGGGACACCTTTTAGCGATTAACATTTTTGAAACATACAGTACCATTGACTGGAGTGATTTACAGCTGCTGTCTGAGTTTCCTATGTGCTGCCAACACGAGGTATTTTCACCCTTGCTGCAACACTTAGCAGTATAGTTAAAAAAAAAGTAACAGAATCCAATATTTATTACTGTATATGCAGGCTGACTACATTTTAGTAATAAATAGGGAGGGCTCAGTTGGGCTTTAATAATAAGGCTATTCTATGTTTTTTCAGAATTTTTGTTATAGATAGAAATGAAAAAGCACCTCAGATGTCAGGATCCCTAGTGTCAATCTAACCCTTAGGGTGACCTCAATACATAACGTAAATAAACTCTTGTTTCAATTTGATTGTATATGTGAAAACTGCTATAGTAATGCTCATTGCATTGATTTTTGGTTTGGTAAACAAGCATTAAATCCTATTTTCTATGAATTTGGTTTTATTGCCCCATAAATCTTCAAGGTAGCATCTCTGAGCTTCTAGTCTGGGATGGAGCAGTATATATATCATGCTGGTCACTTGTACTGCTTCCCTTTGACTACATTTCCAAAGAGGCCTTGCACTAGCATTATACAATGTGTAGGCTTAATTCTGGTACCTCCTCCTATGACCCTCTTTCAGTGCTGTACAGGAGCTCCTTTTCATCAACAAATCTATAGGCAGTGCTGTCTTACTGAAGTAAAACTGAAGTGTGTACTTGCATGGCAAGGGGGTGACAACGCAATCCTTGCATGGAAACCCAACAAAACAATGTTGTCCCCTCTAAACAGAAACTTCCTCTAACAAAATATGGATAAAAGTTTTGATAGAAGGAAAAATATTTTTAAACAGTAAAAGTAAATAAATTGAATGTAAATTAACATTATATTATTCTTTGTAATGATCGTTTAGTCATACTTTTAACCAACTCCCATCCAAACCCTCACACTTATCCCAACATTTGAAATGAACCCTTGTCACTTAACCTACCCCTAACCTTAGTTCTTTGCCAGTACCTGACAAGTAACCCTTAAAAATTAATCTTTAACCACTTTATTACAGGGCATTTTTAACCACTTCAATACCGGGCATTTTTACCCCCTTCCTGCCAAGGCCAATTTTCAGCTTTCATTGCTAAAGTGATATTGACCCCAACAGATGCAATATTACATTTTACTTTAGAAGCTGTGAAAGAATTAACTTTCAGTGACAAATGAAATAACAACTGGATTAGTCATAAAGATTTTTAGGGTACAGCCTGTCATAAACCTGGTCAAATTTAAGATAACCAGGACTTACTGTTGGATATGATCTTCCATATTCCTTTAACCACTTCCATACCGGCCACTTTTACCCCCTTCCTGCCCAGGCCAATTTTCAGCTTTCAGCGCTCTCACACAATTGCACAGTCATGCAACGCTGTACCCAAACTAACTTTTTAGAATTTTTTTTCACACAACTAGAGCTTTCTTTTGGGGGCATTTAATCACCACTGGGGTTTTTTTTTTTTAATTTTTGCTAAATTAACGAAGAAAGACAGAAAATTTTGAAAGAAACACATTTTTCTTTGTTTCTGTTATAAAATTTTGCATTTAAATAATTGTTCTTCATAAATTTCGGCCAAGATGTATTCTGCTACATTTCTTTGGTAAAAATAATCCAAATCAGTATTTATTATTAGACTGTAGGAAAGTTGTAGAGTTCACAAACTATGGGATATATCTGAAAATCTCCCTGTTTGCAAAGTAGACAGTCCGAGGTATTTAGTAAGAGGCATGGCAAGTTTTTTGAAGTTGTAATTTTTTGTCATAATTTTTTGGAAATAAAAGAAATTACGAAAAAAATTCACAATATTTTTTTTACATACTGTCACCAGTGCAGTACAGCTTCATCATTTAGCTGGTACACTGACTGGTGACAGTATGAAAAATTAAAAAAAAAATTTAATTACTTTTTTTATGATTTTTTTTCATTACACATTGTGACCAGAGTAGATTAATGTTACCATAGTAACACTGTACTACTGTAAGAAAGTGATCAGAATTTTTTTTTCTAACACATGATTGCCTATAGCAAAGAATTTCATTGCTATAAGCATTTCACTGAATACATTCAGGTTTTTTTGTTGTGATTAGCTGTGGTTAGTCACAGCTAATCACATAACACAGATGAGTTGTGACTGGCCCAGTGTGTACCAAGTGATTACTATGACTAATCACAGCTACTGACACAATTGTATACAATGGATGGCATGAAAGGAAGCCATCCATTGTTTACAATTGTCATGTGACCTACTGTGATTGGTCACAGCAGTCACATGGTATTGGCAACAGGCCGGTACACATATCTGTCATCGGCTGTGTCTGAGGAACACAGCTGGTGACAGATTTCGCCACAGCCCTATAAGTGCTCCTGTTGTGTCTCTCTTTTTTGTGAGCTATTTTTCCCAAGGTGGATTGCAATAATCCTGTTAGCTTTGTCCATGGTTTTTCCTGAGCCATCCCTGTAATGCAATGAGAGGCCAGTGGTGGTGCCGGAGTCATCCCTGAAAGCTGTCAGAGGCCAGTGGTGTTTTCCCTGTCTTCATACCATGGTTTTCCTGATGGAAGATATCCATACCTGTGGAGGAGCTGGATATTTCTTTATGCACATTTAATATGCACTTCTGGTGTGTGCATTCATGTAGCAGTTTTCAAGAACGGAGTTATTTTCACCGGTTCATCACGGAGAATTTTGGGACGTTTTAATACTCATCCGTATTGTCTCATCAATTTATTTATATTGGACTGTTCACTTATGTCACTTTATATTTATATTGATTGCAAATACCACTTACTAGCTGACATTTTGCGGGACACTTTAGAAATATTATTCACTTGTAGTGCAAATTGAGCGCCTTCACTTTGAGTATGTCACTTTTGTCACTTTATTCAGTAGCATTTTTATTTTTATAATATTATATAGCGCTGCATTATATGTTTTACATAACACAGATGAGTTGTGAGTGGCCCAGTCTGTACCAAGTGATTACTATGACTAATCACAGCTAGTGGCACAATTGTATACAATGGATGGCATGAAAGGAAGCCATCCATTGTTTACAATTGTCATGTGACCTGCTGTGATTGGTCACAACAGTCACATGGTACTGGCAACAGGAGGATACACAGATCTATCATTGGCTGTGTCTGGGGGACACAGCCGGTGACAGATCTTGCCACAGCACAGCCCTGCGGGCATGTGCGAGGCGCGGTCCAGGAGGACATCATATGATGCCCACCCACATCAACGAAAGTCCCGCTCGGCCTTCATTTTGCTATTGGCCGGGTGGGAACTGGTTAACTCTTAACCATAATCTGAACTTTTTTTCTTATTTATGTGCTGGTCTTACAATGCTGAAAATTTTTAGCTAAACACATTGGGATAGATTTACTAAAACTGGAGCACTGAAAATCTGGAACCGCTGTGCATGGTAGCCAATCAGCTTCTAATCTCAGCTTGTCCAATTAAGCTTTGGCAATAAAACATGGAAACTGATTAGTTTCAATGCAGAATTGCACCTAATTTTGCACTGTCCAGTTTTAGTAAACAACTCCCATTGTGTTAGTTCCCAACTGTATTCCAACACATGCATTATCTTATGCTTTCAATACAGCCAGTTCTCTTCTTTTCCCACTCTTTCTACAAATAGATACAGGGTGCCCCTCCATCAGCAAAAAAAAAAGCTATGCTGGTTCATGCACTTACAATATGTGCAAAGAGCAATAGAAATCCTTAGATTTTATGCCTGCAGTCTCTCAAGCTAGCCAGAAACAGCGAGAATGATGGATGGTGTAATGTTCATACGTTTGATAAATAAAAGTTTGCTAACATTTGGGCTCATATTATCAGGACTAGCTTGTTGTCAGATTTAATCCAACTGCGACATCATCAAACCACGGATCAGGTATCATTCCACATTGTCGGATGGAACCACTAAATGCACATATGCAAATTAGGAAGTAATTCACCCTGTAAAGTGGAAGTACTTGTCACACACCACTGCAAGTAACCAAAAACATACGTTCGTATATGAATTTGACAGTTTGACATGAGTGAACGTATGTTCACATACCAGGTTTCCTAATAGTGTTTTTACTTTTCAGACATAAATTAAGGTATCTTATCAAAGCCAATTAACACAAATGTATTGGCCACATACAACTGCTGAGAGTAAATGAGGTTTATGCTTTTCATATATCACCTTTTACTTCACATCTGGCACATGTAAGTGCATGCCATCATCATCAGATAATGTTGTTTAGCATATGAGATGTTGGGCAAAAATGAAGGTTTTTTTTGTCCAATCGTTGTTGTGGAAACATCACGCAAACTTGCTAATAAAATAGATAAAATTGGTTGTATTCATCCATTGCTTCTTAACCTATCCCATTCTCATCTATAGAATTAAGCAACCAATTTTGTGGTCCCACGCAAATGGCTTTTCTATCATCTCTTATTCCCATTGAAAGCTCTTATGATCAGGACTTTATAGTTTGGATATATCGTCATGTAGCGTTTTTTTTGCATATCCTATTTTAAAGCTGATATGGGAGCTGTTTTATCTGCTTAACCATTTGACCTTCGGAAGATTTTACCGCTTTCATGACCAGGCAGTGGTGTATTTAGGTTTTGTGGTGCCCTAGGCAACACAAAAATCACCCCCACCCCAGCAGAGAGAGCCTAACATTGACCAACAACACCCCTGCCCCCCCCCCCCACTTGAGAGATCCTTCCACTAACACACATTTCTCCCCCCTTCCCCCCCCAGAGAGAAAGTC